AGGGTGAAGTGACAGAGTATTAAAACTAACATCCCTGTAAAATTACCAAGTTTGGGCTTGTGCTATTTTTTGTCATTAGTGTATATAATGTTTAATTAGGAATTTGGAGAATGTACCTAATATTTCACCCTTAGGCTTTAAAGTAAAGGAGTAATTGTCACTCTTTTGGTGCTGTGTTTCCTTTTGAGACTACAGTAGTCTTTTGAACAAAAGCTTGTCACAGTTGGTGATTTACAAAACTGTAATTCTATCAAGAAAGGTTAGATCCAAATCATTATAAGCTATGGAAATGTTCCAAATGTCACACTTGAAAGTTCAATACAATATCTCATCATTTCACCAGTTCCTTTGTGGCCAGGACATTACGTGACTACACTGTCAAGGCAGATGACCCTAATTAAACTAGTACTGTGTGAGCTACTCACTTTCCCCCACAGTGGCAGATTATCTGACCTGCCTATCCTTAGCAAACATTTAACATGTGGTTCCACAGTTTTGGATTAGAGTTCAATTTCAGCTCCCACGCTTTTAGCTAAGTTATTATACTGAATGCACATATAAAGTTTCTTGTGCACTGTGAGTACTGACTGCAGTTTTGAAGCTCTTGTGAGCTAGAAGGGCTCTGATAGCCAAATCCTGATACCTGCTTCTGTCCAGCCCAGAATCCTGTTGTACTGGACTCTGTGATGCTGGTTATGCTCCTAATGGTGAGGCCATTTTGAGAAACAAAAATGCAACTGTACGTTAAGAGCAGGGAATGCAACCGTACAAACACCAAGCAAGAGTATAAATTTTGAAGATTAGTTTTCAGTCAGCGTGTAATCTTGCACTGTAATAAACTCAGCTGTTCTGTGTTTGCGTGTCAATCCCCATGACATTGCAGACAGTGAGTGAGAGGAGATGATTAACTTAACTATTATTTGTTAATTCATATTCTCTTAATTTAAGAAAACAAAAGCATTTTCTGGAAAATTATTAGCCAAACCGGCAGAATGCTTAAATAAATGTCAAATTAAAAATTTTACAAGTGGCGTAATCTTGATCCCTGGGACTGGTTAGGGTACATACATAAACTCTGAAAAGTGGGTTTATATCATCCAAGGCCAAAACGTTTTTTAATTCTGCAAATCTGACTTACTTGAATTCTTATTGTGACAGCTGTTTGGAGAAGTGAAGTTCTGGAACTGCTACTACTCCACAAGCCAAGAGCTGTTTACATATTTGTATTGGCTTCTTTGATCGTGTGGTTACATTGAATAACTCGGCACTGTTGATTGAAAGGACTGCTGTGTGTCAGGTTAATGGGTTGAGTGGTTCAGCAATATGCTTTATTGTTAATCCAGCTGTTTGAGGGAAGCTATTATTGTAAGCTGGAACTCGAGGGTAAGTGAGTCACGCTAAACCCAATGATATACCTTGGCAGTCATTACAAAGGATTCAGGCATATTGTGACTGTCTACTGTTCTCCGACATGTATTCAAGAATATATAATGAAAATAATCCTCATTTAGTTTTCACAAGAACATTGTATGCATTCCCATCAATAGGAATGTGGAATCACATCATTTGCACAATATTCTTCCCCTCTTCTGCATAAACTTAATATAATGAGCGAAGGTAGAGTGTCTTGTGATATACTCCATCAGTTAGACTTTCTTCTTCCTTGCTGTTTGGCTAGAAAGCTTTTTTTATACCATAACTTGCTGACATACGTGCAGCGTGGGTAATGTGGAACTAAGGACCCTAGTTAATGACAGCACTTGAGGTTTATCTCTTTAACCAATGTGATTTAAAGATTGAAAAACACGAGGAAAGAGGAGAAGGAAATTGGTTGAATTAGATTTGAAAGTGGTTGATAAAGGTAAATAAAGATTATGTATTTAGAGAGAGAAAAAAGAGACAAAGGGAAAGTAAGAAAAAATTTAGGATTTAAAATGTAAAACTCCATATTACAATTTACTGCCCATAGGAATTAAACACCACAGTTTCAGTTACACGAAACTTTTAAACTGCTAACAGAGCTCACTTATACCTTAACATACATATTTTAAACTCCACAGCCTTGTAGAATGTCTACTTGTCTGACACTTGAAGCCTTCTGTTTCTGTGGTTTCTCTCTTACCAACTTCCAAGACACTCAAGTCTTCTTTTCCTTTGTCCTGACCCTTTTGGAGATTGCTAAACTGCACTGCTGATGTTTCAGGCATTTTAGCTCTGACTTGCTTCTCTCTGAAACAAGCCTGTCCACTCACTGACCTACTGGATGGTTCTGCCTTGCTAATAGAACTTTTCTCGGTTTCTATCTCCCTATGTCAAAGAAGACTTTGTTGTTAGGCAATGGCAAAAAATCTCCTTGTTTCCATCCATGGTTTTTTAATACCTATAAATGAACTACACAGATAACCCAGAACCACACTCAGCATTCAAAAATTAAACTAAAACTATGTCTTCCCTTCTTAACACACACAGTATAGAAATACAATTCTATCTTGAACCTATACTTGTTTATATCTAACAAGCAGTTGAAACCCAAGTTTCCAAATAATTATACATCATGAACCTGTGCTGTAGTAACTGTTGCAATTTAAGAAATCTGACAACCAGTTTATGTACAGCAACGTTAAATGAACCTGGAGCCAGATGGTGCAGTATGAAGTAGGCATGAATCCTTTCTTTATAATTTATTTGTGCAATACAGCATTACATATGTCTTCCTCTTACCTATGACACAATGTCTTAGACATGTTTCTTTAATATTCTTACACAAGTATCTCTTTATACCTAAATTAGTTCATTTGGTTATACTCAAAACTCAATAAAAATTCAGCTTCTTAAAATGACTTTTGTGGTGCATTTGTAGCCTATCATCTTCTGGGCCAGAAGGTCTGGTTTCAAGTCCCAAAATTGTTGTAACATGTCTGAACAGATTGGTTAAAAATAATTTTTCAGCCTTTTAAAGGGGCACCATACTAAAAACATTTTGAAAAGAAATTTATGAAATTAAAATGTGCCAAAAATGATTCTAGCCTATGTATCACCCACTGGTTGCTAAGGCTTCAAGCATACGAGAGGGAGGCAGTAGCGTAATGGTAATGTCACTGGACTAGCAATCCAGAACCCCAGGCCAATGTTCTGGGGTCATGAGTGTGAATCCCACTGTGACAGATTGTGAAATTTGCGTTAAATTAAAATCTGGAGTAAAATGTTTGCCTAATGGCAAACATGTAACCACTGCTGACTGCCATAAAAACCCATCTGCTTCACTTCCTTCATTGTGTAACCTGGCAATGAGACTGCAAGCTGGAATGCTTTCGCCACAGTTGTCTTGCTATTTTCTGCAGGAGACTGTGTATAAATTTGATATAGTGAGTCTTCTTGTTCATTATTCGGACTTCCAGTTTTCTCAAGATACCTTTGGCAATTCTCTTGTTTTCTTTTCTTTGAAATACTGCCTCACATTCACCTTTGACAGTAGATGAAGCTTCATTCAAGTGCTGACACCTCAGAAAATACAGCATTCAGTACTTAGCATGATTTTCTGCTCAGGTGTAAAAAAGGTGGATTTGAACACACATCCTTCTGAATCGGACATGAGAGTTATCAATGAACGTTGAATAATCACAACTTATTGTGGAGACCTGTGACAGACTCTGGATAAAACCTCTCAACTCCCTATGTTGAATATTTCCATTCAACCCCTCTTGCTTTCTCCTGCAAAGATAGTTTCGAGGCACCTAAAATGTCCTTAATTCCGTGAACCTCCGTCATTTTGACAAATGTTTCAGTCTAACCCTATGTCAAATATCTTCTGATTAATCTTAATGAATGATATCTGACATAGCCTTTGACTATTTATACTGTCAATGCCTTAAATAAATAATTCTTTTAAAAGCAAATTATTTGTGTTCTTGCCCAGGAAGCCAGTTGGTGATGTGTATTGACAGAATTACGCATTATAAGTATACATCTTCTAACCGCATCCCGCATTTTTAGTTTGTATCAATTCTATTGGAGCTTGAATGAACTCCAGTTAATGCTCACCACCTGCATACAATGAAATATATTTAACGTGGAATTAACACTTTTTACTGTCATGTACATTTCTGGCTGTCTCTTGAATCATTCATGCCTCATTAGGCACCAGAAAATTATGTTTCCTTCGGTCCTCAGCAGCAGCTTCAATTCTGAAGGAGTTTGTGGAGGTGCTGTTTGTGGCATCATCAATTTCATTAAGTATTCTAGTGTGTCTGAGTGCCCCATGGGCATTTTAATACCTTGAATTTTCTTCAATACCTGCCAATTTCATGTCGTAATATTTGTGCTCTCTCCCCTGAAGGATCCTACTTTAACAGCTTATTTAATCGTCTGTCACTATAAACAGCTTTTTGAAAGCCAGTTTTTGTGTTGAGAGAGGAGTAAATGTTTATACTCAGCAAGGTCAAAAGTTTCCTTACTTAGGATTGTGTCACCTTTTTTTTCTGTTTTATGGCTTTGTGACTGTTTAGCTATGTCGTGGGCCAGATGTAGAATTCAGCTTTCTGTCCGATGTCCCATCAGACTGTTTTCCCTCAAGCGTCAGAATTACTGGCCTTTACTGCCTGGTTATGGAATTCTGCTCTTCTATACAGCTTTACTAGTATTGCCATATTTGCAAATGTTTTATCTGGGTTCCCCTTCCCACCATCCACCTACATGATCACCTGATTTTTATTGAACTCAAGAGACTGGACAAAAATTGTAATGTTGAAAAAACACTGCATTTTTTCTTGTTTGTATGGCTGATGTTTATGGGCATTGGAAAGAGCAGGTAATGCATTCTAAACATTCAGCTAACAACACCACATCATGGTAAACTGCTATCTGTCTTGTATTTTAGACAATATGCACATTTTTCCCTTCTTTTCTACAAGTTTTTGTTTAAAATGTTAATCATTCAGAAGTACCGGGTAGTGGGGCACAGAAATTCTCCATGTAATTGCCTTTGTTATGTTATTTTGCAGAGTTGACACTAAATCCTCCAGAAGGAATTGTTGCAGGTAAGAAATTCTGCATTGTTTGATTTCCAATAAACTCCAACTCTCCATATGTCTGCAGACAATAAGTTGCATTAAGGTACTATTAAGAAATATGTATACTAAGCATATCTTTGAGTGCATATGCCCCTCTCTGTCTTATTTTCCTGTCATTTACCCTGGCAAGGTGTCAAAGACAAGTGGAATCTTCAAGTTAAAGTGGATGAGAAAGCAGAGGGTAATCGGATCATAATGCAAAGATGCACATTCTGTTCTTAGTTTTACATTTTCATTATAAATTCCAGTGTCCTCATTTATGATAGGACTTGCCTCATTAAGCCTGTTTTACACTAATTGCATTTTCCTTTGATGCTATTACATCATATCCATTGAAACATAGCCCCTTCAGTTAGATCCTGGCTGATCTGCATCTTAACTCCGTTAGGCTATCTTGGGTTCTGTGACCCTTAATACCCTTGCAGAACAAAAGGTATCTTAATCTGTTTAAAATGTTTAGTTGATCTTCAGTCTTGACAGTCTTTGGAGAGTTCTAGGTTTTCGTTATGTTTTCTATGACCAAGTGCTTCTTTACATCATGCCTGAATTCCTCAGCTCTAATTTTAAGGTTATTCTTCCTTGTTTTGGACTCCTGTCAGGAGGGAAAATAGTTGCTCTCTTAAAACCTGTCAAAACTTTTAATCATCTCAAACACCTCTGTTGAAGGAATGCTCAGAGGAATTGGTTGAGAGTATTTGGAAACGTTGATAGCAAGATACTTACAATTTATGAATAGAGGTTACAGTTTTGGCAAAATAACAAAGCCAGGCAATCAATTTCAATTAAAAGCCCGTAGAAATGCCAAGGAATAAAAACGTTGGTGGCTATGTTGATGCATTGTTGTTTAATGGCAAATCCCTTCTATAACAGCATATCTTCCAATCACCTTACAGGAGATCCACTTAGAGTCATGGAGTAATACAGCATGAAAACAGGCCCTTCAGCCCAAACTGGTCCATGCTGACCATGATGCCCACTCAGCTTGTTCCACTTGCCTGCATTTGGCCCATGTCCCTCTAAACCCTTTCCATCCATGTACCTATCCAAATGTTTCTTAAATGTTGCTATTGTACCTGCCTCAACCACTTTCTCTGGCAGCCCATTCCGTATATGCACCACTCTCTGCTTGAAACAGTTGCCCCTCAGGTCCTCCTTAAATCTTTCCCTTCTCACCTTAAACCTATGCTCTCTAGTTTTCAATTTCCCATCCCTGTCAAAGTCTACAGACAACCTCCACTGCCCTACCCTCATCTATCCTCATGGTTACCTCTTCGAAAAACTCTAAAAGATATGTCAGACCTGACTTCCCAAGCTCAAATCCATGCTGACTATCCCTAATCAGATCTTGACGATCCAAATGTTGGTTGATCCTGTCCCTCAGTATCCTCTTCAATAACTTGCCTACCACTGATGTCAGGCTCACTGGCCTGTAGTTCCCTGGCTTGTCTTTGCTACCTTTCTTAAACAATGGAACAACAACAGCCACCTTCCAGTCTTGCGGAACTTCACAAGTGGCTAAAGATGAAGCAAAAATCTCTGCAAGGGCCTTTGCAATTTCTTCCCTAGCCTCCCACAATGTCCAAGGATGGACTTTATCAGGCCCAGGGGATTTATCCACCTTTATGTGCTTTAAGGCTGCAAACATCACCTCTCTGGTAACATGTATGAGGTCCAAAATGTCCCACTTGTTTTCCTTATTTCCTTAGCATCCATGATTCTCTCCTCAGTAAACACAGGAGAAATATTCATTACAAATCTCCCCAGCTCCTGTGGCTCCACACCCGGATGGCCATGCTGATCTTTAAGGGGACCTATTCTCTCCCTAGCTACCCTCTTACTCTTAATATAGCTATAGAACCTCTTGGGATTATCTTTAACCTTATCTGCCAGATCCATCATACCCTCTTTTTGCTTTTCTGATTTCCCCCTTAAGTGTGCTCCTACACTTTTTATAGTGTCCCTGGACTCTTGATATCACACTTTTAAAAGCCTCCCATTTGCCAGTCGTTCCTTTTCCTTCAAACAGACTCATCCAATCGATCTCTGCTAGATCCTGCCTAGTGGCCCCAAAATTGGCCCTGCTCCAGTTCAGCACCTTAACCTGTGGATCTGTCCTATCTTTTTCCATAACTATGTTAAAATTAAGAGAGTTATGGTCACTGGGCCCAAAGTGCTCTCCGACTGATTGTTCAGTCACTTGCCTGACCTTGTTGCCTAAGAGGAGGTCCAGTGTTGCACCCTCCCGAGTAGGGCCCTCTATGTATTGATTTAGGAAACCTTCTTGGACAGATGTGACAAATTCCACCTCGTCCGGGCCTTTTGCATTCTGGGTGGCCCAGTCAATACAGGGGGAATTAAAATCTCCAATCAATACTACTCTGCTATTCCTACAGGTATCCGCAATCTTTCTACACATCTACTCCTCTAGTTCCGGTGGCTATTTGGGGGTCTATAATGTAGACCCAACAGAGTGACCATCCCCTTCTTGTTTCTAAGTTCTAACCATATGGCCTCATTTGATGACCCCCTTAAGAATATCATCTCTAAGCACTGTTGTTATGTCCTCCCTTATCAAAAGGGCAACTCCCCCCTCCTCGCTTACTTGTACTTCTGTCATGCCTGTAGCTTCTGTACCCTGGAACATTAAGCTGCCAGTCCTGCCCTTCTCTCAGCCATGTTTCTGTAATGGCTGTAATATCCCAGCCCCCAGAGCCAATCCATGCTCTGAGCTCATCTGCCTTACCAGTCAGGCCTCGTGCATTGAAATAAATGCACTTTAAGCCAGAAGTCTTTCCCCCCATCTGTTGTGCCCCTGGCTGTCCTGAATGGTAGACTTGCTCTTGTTGACTAATGTATTTTTCCCTGACTTCTCGATGGCCCCTCTCTTATTCAGAGTGCCAAATACATGCCAAACTAGTTTAAACCCTCCCGGGTAACACTAGCAAATCTTCCCATGAGGATATTGGACCCCCTCCGGTTCAAGTGCAACCTCTCCCTCTTGTACAGGTCACCTGTACCCCAGAAGAGATCTCAGTGATCCAAGAACTGAAATCCATGCCCCCTACACCAGTTCCTTAGCCATGCATTCATCTGGCCTATCTTTCTATTTCTATCCTCACTGGTGCATGGCACTGGGAGTAATCTGGAGATCACTACCCTTGAGGTCCTACGTTTTAACTTCTTACCTAACTCCCTATACTCATTTGTACCAATGTGCACAATGACCTCTGGCTGTTCATCGTCTCCCTTCAGAATGTTCTGCAACTGCTCAGAGACATTGTTGACCCTCGCACCCGGGAGGCACCATCCTGGTGTCTCTTTTGCAGCCATAGAATCCCCTGTCTATTTCCCTCATAATTGAGTCTCCTATCAGTATCTCTCTGTCTAACAGAATGCTTTCCCTCTGAGCCTCAGAGGCAGTCACAGTGCCACTGACCTGACTGCGAAATGTCATTCCTCCCCTCAAAAGTGTCCAAAGTGGTATACCTGTTATTGAGGGGAATGGCCACAGGGGAACCCTGAACTATCTGCCTTCCCCCTCTTAGCTCTCCTGGTGGTCATCCAGCTACCTGCAGCCTGCTCCTTCGGAGTGACCACTTCACTATTGCTGTTATCAGTGATGTTCTCTGCACTCTGGATGATCCTGAATGCATCCAGCTCTAGTTCCCTAACGCAGTCTGTCAGGAACTGCAGCCGGGTGCACTTCTCACAGGTGTAGCCATCAGGGAGACTGGATCCCTGATCTCCCACATCCTGCAAGACCTACTACCTTCAGTCTAGACAGGAGGAAAATAGAGTTAAAGAGCCCTTACCTGTATCCCTGCTCAGACACCTCAAGCAAAGGCCTCAGCACTTACTCTCTAACACTAACCCACTCTCTTAATGGCTGCTGCCTTGTACACCTTTACTTCGCCAGTCATCCTCCTCACAGAGTCTGTTTTGATCAGAGGAGGAGAGCGGGTGGGAAGCACCAATGTAGTGTTTCAGGTTTAACCACACCTTGACACCAGGTTCTCTCTGACCTGCGTACAGTCATCATGACTGTAGCAATGTCTCCCAGAAATCGCTGTGATGACTCTCCATCATCCTCTGATTCGCTGTTTCCAAATGAGGTTCCAAATTAATTTACCAATCCTGTTGCAGCTGGGTAGTAATTGTCTTTCACTGGATTTTGGGTTTATAACCAAGTGATTCTGTTTCTGCCATTCACAGGTCCTATCAATGAGGAGAACTTCTTCGAATGGGAGGCTTTAATCATGTAAGATGGAAAGTGTTTTTCAGCTCCTTCCCCACTCCTCCATTTCTTTGTTCCAAGTAACTTTGTCTATTCATTGTTTTGCTGCTGGTGATTTTCACAGGGTCAGAACAAAACAGCTAGTGGACAAGATTGTAGCTCAGTGAGTAGCACTGTTGTCAATGAATCAGAAGGTCATTGGTTCTAATCCGACTCCGGAGAACTGAGCGTGTAATCTATGCTGCCAATTCCCAGTTCAGTGATGGTAGGACAAGCTCTCTTAATGCACCTGGTTTGATCCCCAGCACGCTTGATGCCCATCACCCCAGAATACCTGTCTCTAATGTTTTGATGGTGATTAATTATCCTTATTTCAAAGGGCGAATCTTTCAGAAAGCAAAGTTTCATTGTGAGGTTGCTTGGCATTATGTAATATCTCTGAACTCTGCTGTGTCAGCTTTTCTGCTGCTGAAGCCCTCATTCGTGCCTTTGTTACCTCTAGACGTGACCTATTCTGCCACATTCTTGGCCAGCTTCTTGCTTCCTACCCTGTATGAATTTGAGATCATCCAAAACTTTGCGCCTAATGTCCTTACTCGCACCAAATCCTATTCACTCCTTTGCCTTTGCATAATTTACAACCTTGTTTTAAATCCCCACCAACCCTCCTTGCATCTGTAATCTCCTCCAGCCACAAAACAATCAGTGTAGGTGATCCTCAAATACTGGCCTCCTTAACGTCCTCAGTTTTAATTCTTCCACCATCAGATACCATCTTCAGTTGTCTTGGTCCTAAACTCTGGAATTCTTTCCTTAACCCTTCCTGTCTCCCTTTCCTTCTTTTAAGGGGGTCCTTAAAATTTTGCTGTAATGCAGCCTTTGGTCACCTGCCCTAATCTTTAAATGTGAGTAGTCTAATGGTGTCTGTTAATTTTCAGTTGTCGTTAACAGCCTTATCTGGTTCACTGATGTTCCTTAGGTTAGGGAATCAGTCATCCTCACCAGGTCTGGCTTACATTTTATTCAAGACCCACAGCAATCTGTGGGTTGACTCCTAACCTGGCCTCTGGGCTGTTGGGGATGGGCAGTCTGGGCCGATCCAGCCAACAATGCCCACATCTCACGAATGAACATAGAAAAAGTTGGCATGTTTCAGGAGAGATGGTGGCATAGTGGTCTTGTCACTGAATTAGAAATCCAGAGGCTCGAGCTAATGTTTTTGGTGCAGGGTGCCCTATTCAATTAAAAGTAAGTCTAGTGGTGACCCCTGAAACCATTGTTGAGTGTCTTTGTTTAAAAAAAAATGCTTCTTGAGTGTCCTGTAAGGGAACAAAATTTTCCATCCTTGCCTGCGCTACGTGTGAGTTACGAACCATATCAATGTGGTTGACTCTTAACTGCCTGGCAAGCCACTGAGATTAAGGGAATTACGGATGGGCAATAAATACTTGTTTGCCAGAGACTTCCACATCCCATGAAAGAATGAAGAAAAAAATGTTGCTGGCCTTTCATCATAAAATGGCATTGATTAACATGTGCCCCTTCAGAAAAGGTTGGCAGTTCGCAGGTGGTTTGGACAATTGGGAAGCATAGTTGTGTATTGACAATGTCTGAATTGGCCATAGATCTTGATTTTGTTATTATGTATCTCCAGACCTCTTCTCCAGTGAATCTCAATGCTGGCTGTTCATAGCTGAGTTATGATAATGTCTGCATGTCTGCTTACTGTATTTCGGCTGCATTTAAAACAATTTTCATGAGCCTTTCTTGTGGGAAAGGGAGGGGAATATTTCCAATTGTTGCTCTAGAGTAGTGTGCACAAGATGAATTAAACTTTTGGAAATCCCCATGTATTTGACTGAGCTTATGGTTTGCTGATCTGTCCCAACTGTGTTTATATAAACATAAAAGAGAAGGACTAAGATGGATTTAAAAGGGTAATTATCCCTTCTACAACTTCAACAAGAGCTGTTTCCTCATTCCATGATTTTAGCAAACACTGAGTTTCAATTGAACCAATGTCTGCACTCTTTGGGAATAATCCATGTCCTGATTTTAAGAACCATCTTAGTTGCCACCCCAATAACTTGTACTTCCCAATCCTCAAATTCTCTAAACATTTTGGCAATATTATAACCCTCCTTCTTTTATAATCACTTATAACTTCTCAATAGCCACATTTGGACCAAGTAAGAGGGCAAGATGAAATGTAATACTTAAATGTGGAGTTATCCCTTTGGTATGAATAAAACAGAGCAGCAGAATATTTCTTAAATGGTGAAAGATGAGAAATGTTGATATCTGTAGGGATCTGATGTCCTTGTGTATGAAGCAGACAAAGTCAGCATGCAGTTTCAGCAAGCATTTAAAATGGCAAATAATCTGTTAGTCTTTATTACAAAAGGACTGAAGCATGAGAGTAAAGTTGCCCTAATTGCAGTTAAATAAGGGCTTGTTGAGAATTGTGATGCCCAGATTTGGTCATACTACTCCAGCTGAGGCCGAGCATTGCTGATACCATAAGCTTCTGCTAATATTTAGCTTCTGTTAGAAGATTTTTGTGCGTAATTAATGTAATAGCACAAATCAGTCTATTTGGCCCAGTTACTCCATGCCATTGTTATGCTCCTCACAAGCCTTCGCACACTATTCTTCCTCTAACCATATCAGCATAACCTTCTGATTTCTCCCTTTGTGTGTTTATCCACCTTCTCCTTAACTGCATCTGTGCCATTTGCTTTTATCATGTTAGTGGTAGCAAGTTCTCCACTATAGCCACCTTTTGGCTAGAAAAGTTCCTCCCTGAATTCCTTATTGGATTTATAAGGTACTAACATATTTATTACCTCTAGCTTTGGATTTACCATGTGAAAATATAATCACTTTACTTTAACAAACCTTTTGCTAGTATTAACGATCTCTGCCAAATCAACCTTCGGCATTCTTTTTATGCAAGAAAAGAGCTCCAATTTGATCAGACTTACCTTGTGAGTGTGTAACCTCTTGATTTTATTATCTTTTAAATCGTATTTTGCACCCTTTGCAGTATTCTTTCTGTAATAATCAAACCAAACTGCTTGCACACCCGCCAATTTGACTAATGTTCATAACTTTGCCACTGTTCAATTTTATTTGCATAGAAATAAATTCCAGTGCATTTTTTGTGGCTTTATTAACCTGTGTACTTTTAGTGATTTTTGTATCTATATCAAAGGATCCTTTTGCCTGTATAACCAATTTAGATTTTGGAAAGGGGTTGAGCAGATATCCAGGTAACGATCAGGCCTGATACTGTTTTCTTGTCCTTGCTTTGCACACATTGTAGTTCAGATGACAATGCTGGACAGTTCCAGAGCTGTTGCAAGACTGCTGTCATTGGAGCCTCAATTATGTGGCACACCTTCACTGGTCAGTTTATAACCACTAGTAATGAATAGGTAATGGGTGTTTTTGTTCTAAAGAGATTGTATTTGTTGACTTGTATTGCGTGAAAAATAATCATCAAAGACAATTATTTGAAAGCGAGAGAGTGCTTTTAACTTTAAAAGCTCTAATTTCAAGGCTTTTTAAGCTCTTTCTGATCCTGAAAACTGAAGTGGGCGGAGATTGAAGTCTTATCTGAAGTGACTGGGTGGAACAGAAATGCAGTTAATGAGGGAGTACATTTAGGTTCCTTAGCAAGAAGGGGTTTCAAAGGCTCTGGCCAGGCTTTTCAAAGCCAAAGCTGTCTTTTAATGGAAACTTTGCTCCACATTGGCAGTAACTCGAGATGTTTGAAATAAATATACATATATGATTGTGAGGGGCAGGCTGTCCTGCAGGGAATTGGAGTCACATGTTCAATTTTGGGCACCTTTGACACTGAAAGGTATTTTGGCCTGGGGAGAGGATGTAGTGCAATTCACCAGAATAGTACAGGGATGCGTTACAAGAACATGTTTTGCAGACCAGTCTATAGAAGCTGTAGGCATGATCCAACTGATGTATTTAAAATAAAGGATTTGATTGGGTAGATAGAGAGATGGCATTATGGTGGGGGGCTTGTGTGAAGCAAGAAGGCACAGCATTGGCCATTCAGTTAGGACTGATGTCAGGAAGCACTTCTTCCCACAAAAGATGGTGGTAATCTAGAGCTGTCTTCTCTCAGAAAGCTGCTGTGGCTGGGGGCCAATGAAAAATTTCAAAATATAGTGTATATATGTACGTACGCTATTTATAGTTGTATGTGCAAACTGTGATGCATTTGACATACTTCATTTATTCGACCGTCATGTTTGCTTTTCAACTAAAAGGGCAGTTTTGCCAGCAGTCATTGTGGAATCAAGAATCCAAAGTTTGTTTTACTGAGGCATTTCTTAATGCTTGTTTTTGCTTATGGATACTGAAAACACTGCTGCAGTCCTGGGAAACAGTGGGGTTACTACCATTGACAACAAGGTGCAGAGCTGGATGAACACAGCAGGCCAAGCAGCATCATAGGAGCAAAAAGGCTGACGTTTCGGGCCTAGACCCTTCATCAGAAATTTCTGATGAAGGGTCT